CTGGTAGTCAAGACCTAATGAGTAAACCTCCAAAGTGAAATGGAGGGAATTGTACACTACAATCACGAATGCAAGAAAATAGGCTTTTGTAGTTCAAGCATTGAGGCGCAGCCTCATCAGTTTGTATTTTTATTAAATTACTTGATTTTATCCACTGGACCTTCAAGTTTTTTTCATTTTTATATATTTATATAGCATTACAAGTAATATGCTGCGTTTTAGCAACAACTATTATTTGATAATCGAAAAGCTGAAATTCTGCCTTCCACATTATCAGTAACAGGGCCCCCGAAACCTTGGCCAACGCCGTTGCCCAGCATAATCCAAGGAACCATCAGCCTAACCCCGGGCGAGATTCGAGTGCGTCCGGGGCAATTGGTACAGCTGCAGTGTCACGCCCGACCCGAGGGCACCCGTCCGATCCTCGAGTACGAGGAGACTGGCCAAGAAGTGATCAGTAAACCGCCAGGCCTGATCGTCGAGAGGCCGAGCGTTGAACGAATTATTCTTCGCATGCCTCAGGGCCTGCACATTGCCTCTCCGACATTGCGGATCAGGCAAGTGCATAACCGCTCTCATTATCTGTACCATCACAGATTGCCATGGATGCTTATACAACACCTGTCGACACAGCCGAGATAGAGTTAGCTCTTCATCAGTCTTGAAAGAGTGCATGGTTCATCCACTCAGTAATAGGTTAAGTGATTTTGTCACCATGCCAAAGAGACCTGTAAAACTCAAGATTTGCAGGCCTCGGTTAGACGGGCAAACATCATTGTCTGTACCATCAAATCGCCCAGAGACAGCTCGATGTCTCTAAGGCGTTCATACATAGACACACACACTGCATTTATGGACAATCAAATTTGGCGTCGCTGATCAGGGCCACTTTGTCGAGCGAGTGCTGGTCCGCCAGTCAGCACCACAATTCACTTGACCTGTTTGGGCTGCTCAGTTGAAAGTCGTAATAATGGGCACCCGAAGCCCATTAGTGTGCTTTATTGTGACATTTCCTGAAACACCTACGAGCCTTTCATCCTGGTGAAGTTCAGCTACATCTTTGCGGCTAAGCCAGTAGTAAGGATCGTTTTGTATGAAACATGAGAAGCCTTCGCCTGAGGCGGTCGTAAGCAAGCTGAGGTTGATCTATTCTTCGTATATAAGCAGAGTTTGGAGACTACGTATCATAATAGTTTGTTTGATCTGTCACTTAGTATTTCTTATATTTTAGCGTATTGCTTCTATCTTGTTCTATCTATATAATTTATTGCGTCATTAGCCGTAATAAGACTAAATTTGTACATCTTAAGATGT